AATGGTCCACATTAGCAAGAACTCTTCAGTGTCCTTGATCATTTTTTTTTTTTTTTAACATTTATTTATTTTTGAGACAGAGACAGAGCATGAACAGGGGAGGGGCAGACAGAGAGGGAGACACAGAATCTGAAACAGGCTCCAGGCTCTGAGCTGTCAGCACAGAGCCTGACGCGGGGCTCGAACTCACAGACCGCGAGATCGTGACCTGAGCCAAAGTCGGACGCCCAACCGACCGAGCCACCCAGGCGCCCCTCCTTGATCATTTTTAAGACTGGGGTCCTAAGACCACAAGTTTGTGAACTACTGGCTAACACTCTTTTTCTAGTATATTATAACTCGCTGGTGGGGGAAACGAAAGGGAAAATGCGGATAGAAAGAATTTTGCAAGCTAAACAGACACAAACACGGGTTGATGGCTACTCATACAGGTTCTAGTCAAGCCAGGTGGGCTACCTGCATCCACAACCCATACAGAAAGGCAATGCCATCACTCTGTCGCTGCTGGGGGCACATCGCTGAAACAGTGCATGTCAGGGAACCTGGGGTCGAGCCCCAACTCCACTATTTCCAGGCATATTATTTTTTTGGAGATTTGGTGCATTTATCTGTAAAATGGGATGGGACTCTCTATACCTGCCTTTACCCTGGGGAGTTGCCACAGAGATCAAATGAGAGGATGTAAATAATAATAAAAGATTGTATTTGTTAAGTAAATTCCGCATGTCAGGTAGTGTGCTTGGTGATCTGATTCCATGATCTCAATGAAGTCCCATCACTACCACACAACAGATACCAGCAATGCTATGTACAGGTCAGGACATTAGCCCTACAAGTTCAACCGTTTGCCTATGGCTGTAAACCTGCTGAGCCGGGGAGCTGGGCTGGCAGGTCCAATGGAGACCCTACTTCCCCCCCCACCCTTCACAGCCTCTCTCGGCCTGTTGTGAGGTGAAACAGCTTTTTTACAAAAAACATCTCCTGGTATGTGGAGGCGAAGGGCAGGAAGAAATGCAAGTTGCTTTTTTTTTTTTTAAATTATTTTTAAAGTTTATTCACTTATTTTGAAAGAGAGAGAGAGTGTAGGTGGGGTAGGGACAGGGAGAGAGGGGAGAGGGAGCATCCCAAGCGGGCTCTGCACTGTCAGCATGAAGCCTAACGCGGGGCTTGAACTCGCGAACCGTGAGATCACGACCTGAGCCAAAACCGAGAGTCAGATGCTTAACCTAGTGAGCCACCCAGGCGCCCAGGAAACGTGAGTTACTTTAAACCTGACTTGGTGCGTCGACTCTGGCACGAGCTCACAGGGTAAAGAGCCACAGTGACAACTCTCTTTGGGGTCCTCAGGTGGCAGTCAGTTAGGAGTCAGAAGCTAGACAACAGGAACCAGCCCCAGCCCTGTCTGATGTTAGCGCCAGCATCCCTGCGGCTCTTGGGGTTTTCACATAACTTCCCACCTGGCCATCCCACCTTCCACAGTCACTGAAAGCTGGGAGATGAAGACAAACAAACAGAGAAGAGACAGCTATCATCACTTAGCGGGTCACATTTCTCAGGACCAACCAACCCTTCAGAAACCCCTCAACACAATACACTCCCAATACCGATTACTTACAGGCAACACGATGAAAGTTTTTCTCTAACTAGAGTTAGTCAAAAGCAGAAAGCTACACCTGACCCCCAAATCTACCGTTTCCTTTTCCTCTATATGAAAGTAAGTAATGTTTTAATGAAAACTATTAAAATGCCCATTGTAAGTACTACCTTTATTAGAAAATGACATTTTTCCATATGTACCAAAGACCTTGGAACACAAGAGACATTTGGCATTTACTGGTTGGACTGAGGATACAATTTAGAAAAGTCTAAAAATATCAAAGTACCTTCTTTTATCTTACTCTCTGAATTCCAACTGTATCCATTCTTGCTTAACGTTTCCAGACTCCACTAGCTTAAGAAAATAGGCTTTTCAAGAGCCTCCTGAGAAATACTGGTTCCCAGGGGGTGTTCTAGAGCTCCAACAAGCTCCAGGATGCTCCCCAAACTCTTATGTGGGGGCTGGAGGGCTGCAAGCTGGCCAGAAGCCCCTCCCTCCTGGGGCGTGGCTTCCTCTGAGCCCTCTCTCTGCTCCAAGGCTTGGCCGCATCAGCCTGTCTGGTTCGCTCTACCCTTTCCTGGCAGAACATAAAAAGGGAAGCAGCAAGCTGCTGAAACTGTTGTCAGGTTGTATAAACTCCTGGGACTGGCTTTTTATTCAGTCAGAATAGCGTTCCCTTAGTAACCAACTATAGTACAAACAGATTCTTTACCTGCTTCCTCATCAGGCATGCCACCACTAACTTCAAAGAGAAAATGTCAGTTTTTATTTTTTTAATTAAGCGAACTGGGTCTTCTAGCAATTTCTATCAGATATTTCTTAGACTTCTACCCCTTAAAGGAGAGTAGCCAGGGAGGAAGAAGGCCTGCAGCTTGGAGTTTGTGTAGGGGGCCAGCAAGATCAGCATTACTTAGGGAAACACAATCACCAAGGTAGGGTGATAGAGGCAGTGTAACAGAGTACGGTGGTAGAGACAATGGACTCACAGACAGAATGTTTGGGTACACGTCTGCTTATTAACAGTGTCCCTGAACAGGTTAAATACTGATGTGCCTCAACTCCCTCATCTGGATTGAAGGTATAACAACCATAGGATTGTTGTAAGATGTAAAATAAGAAACCTACATACTGGGGCACCTGGGTGGCTCAGTCACTGAGTCATCCGACTCCTGATATTGGTTTAGGTCATGATCTCACGGTTCGTGGGTTCAAGCCCCGCATCGAACACTGCTGACAGCTCGGAGCCTGCTCGGGATTCTCTCTGTCTCCTTCTCTCTCTGCCCCCCACCTTCTCTCTCTCACAAATATACAAACATAAAAAAAAAAAAGAAAAGAAATCTACACATGATGCACATTACCAGGTTCATCAAGGCGTTCAATAAATATCAGTGGTTTCTGTATGGTGGCAAGTCAGCGCAGTATTAGGTAAGCAAATACAGACAACGAATGTTCCACGAGTTCCACGAGTGACCACTGCGTTGTGGGGCCGGCACACGCTGGGGAAGGAACCCACAGTGGAGGGAAGTGGAGGAATGGACTGGTCCAGGAAATGTGCAAGGGATGAGTCTCGACTGAAGCCAAATACATTTGGTGTCCGGGAAACTAAAGGTTATTAGCAAGACACCCCTGTGAAAACACCCACCTCAGGGGAAAACAGAACTTCCTCCCTGAGCAAGTCTGTTACCAGTAATTACTCACGTGCATAGTCAGAGTGCTGCTTCACTTCCCTTCTTCCCACCACATGGCCTTTGAGCAAGGCCATCAGCAGAAAGACAGGCAGCACCCAGAGGAAGGAGAAATGAGGGCCATCTTCCGAATAAAAGCGATTTAAATACTCTAAGATTTACAGAGATATCACGGATTTGTCAAATAAACCCCAAAGTATAGGAACATGTTGGTCCTAAGTTCCTGAAGTTTTTGAAAATAAGACCTGTTTCTATTCTCCATCTTCATTTTCTTTAAGATTAGCTGTCACTGTAGGAGACTAACTCAATGGCATAAACCACAAATTAGAATTAAGCTGTTAGGAAGACAGACACACACATGTATTCATCTAGTAGGATAGGAAAAAAAAGGAGACTCTGATTGGCCAAATATTCAGGTTAAAACACTATAGAATGGCAGTTTTCATTTTTCGAAGAGTATGTATTTGTCTGTAAACTAGCTGTTTGTATTGAACAGATCTGTGACTAGATTCTCCTGTAAGGTCACAGAAGCCTATCTGATAGAAGACAACTAACCCAGGGCCAAGACATCTTGAGTTCTTAAAGGAGGCCAGGGTGCAATACTGAGAGACTGGGGGAGAGGAAGAGTCTGCCCGTCTTCAGGAAAGAGCCGAGGAAAGTATGGCATCGTTTTCCTTTGGGACTGTCCAACCTCCCTGTGCCTCTATCTCCCGGGACTCTGGAGAAGAGAGACTTGATTTAATGTACAAGGAGGGCTGGGTGGTGATGCCACACAGAACGAGCCTTCTCAGTGTGAACAGGGTGTGAGGGCGGGTATCCGGACAGCAGTGTCGCCAAAGAGACCACCTCAGCCCCAACTCTGTTTGCCTCCTGGAGCCAGACACCCCTCACGTCCCAGGTTTTTAGGGATTCCTTTTGTCATCAACTTCTGTAACCCTGGATTCCCCTGAATCCCAAAATCCTTTTCTTGGTGGGGGGGTTAAAATGATGTGAGGAACTGGGGAGGTTAATTATTTGTAAGTCAGGGACCAAAATGCATGCTTGTCTTCATACAAGTGAGGTATAACACTTGCAACGTGGATTTCCAGTGTATGTTTGACACAGAAATCATCAACACTCTTTCAACTAATAAAAAAACAAAAGTCGCTAAAAATTATCTCAAACAAAACCCAAACCAAGGCAATGGTAGAATGGGAAGAGAATCCAGGTTAACTAGCTTCTCTGACTCCGTAAATCTTCCCTGCTAGAAGCTGGATCTAGGAGTTCTACAACGGTATTTTCTTTTTTCTTTTTTTTTTTTTAAATTTTTTTTTTTTTTACGTGTATTTATTTTTGAGATAGAGAGAGACAGAGCATGAACGGGGGAGGGTCAGAAAGAGAGGGAGACACAGAATCTGAAACAGGCTCCAGGCTCTGAGCGGTCAGCACAGAGCCCAATGCGGGGCTTGAACTCACGGAGTGTGAGATCGTGACCTGAGCCGAAGTCGGCCGCTTAACCGACTGAGCCACCCAGGCGCCCCTACAACGGTATTTTCTTTACACGTGACTCCACACCGGAGACTTTTAAAAAGCTTTTCATTTTTTATTTTTTTAATTTTAATTTTGTTTAACCCCCAGGACGGGGGGCTGGGGAGAAGATTATTAAATTGTTCTCTTCATGATCTTATTGTACTTTGGTCTGGTTGAAATTTTTAGAAATCACTTATGCAATGGCTTACCAGATTTTTCAGCAGTGTGGACAGTTCCTTTGTAAGAGTAGAAAACTTGACGAAAGCAGTGCCAAGGTCTGGGTTGTCTCGACTTAAAAAATTACTTCCGAACTTGTCAAGAACTTGTGCATAGTTTTCTTCATTTTGTACGTGATCTAAAAAAGAAGAAGGCAGGAGTCTGAGCTATTATTTGCCACAATGACGAGATACTTTGAACACTGATTGATCATTAGAAACTCTTAAAAGGAAGGCAAAGAGACACGGCATCAATTATTCACTGAATGTGTCCAGAGGTGGTCAGCGGGGAGCGAGATGCCTTCGCTCACTCTAGTAAACGGGGTTTCCTCCTTGTTCTTTCACAGCGTTCAGTTCACCTACATCCCAGCTAGCCCATGGACTCCCCACAGGGGGCGGGGAGGGTCAGGTTATCATCCCATTTCAAAGCACATCGTATTTCCATTAAGAAACTATGATTAGCAGGAACAAGGAGAAAAGTCTCCTTTGAAAATCAATCTTGGAAGGCAGAAGAAACATCCACGGGTTCTAACAGGTTTCCTTCTCTGCAACTCATCTTAATTTCCTTTAATTCTGTCTAAGCCTCAGATCTGAGGAACAGCATTTTTAAAATGATTTTTTTTGCACACGATCTCTTGGTGTGAGTCGTGAAGGCATGGATCAGATGGATCAACGTTTGAGGTTTGGTTTCACCACCTATAAGCTAGCTATCTTATCAGTTTTGTAACTTTTATGACCATTATCCTAGTTGGAGAATTACAAGGCGTTAATGAGATACTTGTGAATACATTTCCTCACTCTGAGCTTTGCTTTCCTGATCTGTAACATGACACTAACCCTATCTTACATGAATGTGGTGCTGAAGAGGTGATACGAACTGTACAAAGAGTGAGGGTACCATCAATAATAACCACTCCCACTCTCTCTACTGGGCTTCCAGGATAATATCACACTCTCTTCACCATTCTTCTATGTCTTGGCTGCTCCCTCCTCTCCAACATCTTTGCTGGATCTTCATCCCCCTGACCTCACAATGTTGGAGAGCCCTGGGCTTTTCTTCTCTCTCTCTATGCTCACTCTCTTGGGATCTCATCTAGTTTATAGCTTTGAATAACTTCTATTCTATCCCAAATTGATACCCCAGCCCAGACCCTAGCCCTGAAATATAGATTTCTATATCAACTGCCTATTCAATATCTCCACCTGGATGTCTGATAACTATGTTCAATCTCAACATGCTAACAGCAAACCCTTAATGTTCTGCCCCCGACCTTCTTTTTCTACAGACCCTTATATCTCAGTTAATGACAAATACATTCTTGTAGTTGTTCAGGTTGAAGCCCATACTAGTCATGCTTGATTTTTCTTTTTCTCATACCCCAGATACAACCCACTGGCAAACCCTATTGTCTTTACCTTGAAAATGTAACCAAAATCTGACAACTCACTACCCCCATGGCTATCAATCTTATCTGACATCATCTCTTGCCTTGATCACTGCAGAACCTCCCTATGAAAGTCTCTTTATTGCAGCTCTTTCTTGTTCACCTACAGTCCCCTATCAATACAGCATCCAGTGTGGTTCTGTAAAATTGTGCATCACATCCTGCGATGCTTACAGCAGACGTAAGCACTTACCGCAGATATCCAGACTCCCTACCCTTGCAGGCTCTGGAAGGCAGTCCTGCACGTCTCTACACCCTTGAAGGAAGCAAGCACGGAACATGACACATGCTGACCAAGGAAGTGTGAGTGGAGGCGAGGTGCCCCACTTCCACGTGCACACGTTTCAGATGCCTCTACTCAGGTCCCCGCTTCTCTCTTCCTTTGTGGTAGAGGACAGGGAGGCACAGATTTGTACGGAGCCCCATAAGAGATGCATGACAATTTACTGAATGAATAAATGAACGGTGAGTATCTGACAAAATCATGTCTAGCAAAATCATACCTCTAAAGGCTTAATTAAATACCTCCTTATAGAGCCTTCCCTTAGTTGGCAATATCCTCCCTTGCCAGTAACTCTCTGTGCCTCTTTTGCAGTATTTTCCACCATATCACATCATATTTGTGTAAGTACAGACCTTTCCTTGCCATACGACTGTGAGAGGCAGGGATTACTTCTGGCTCATCTCTGCGTCCCCACCCAACAAATACCACCGTGGTTGTCATTTTTCGGTGAGCTGAGCTTAAGAAGCTAGGGCTCAGTAAATATCCATTGACTTGGATTTGTTGATTTTCTTTTCAGGAATTTAAGAAGCATTCCCTTCTTAAAATCTCCTGGATCATTCAATAATGGAGATAAAAATCCAAAGCATCTCACTCTCAAATACACTCTCAATAACTGTGCGGGAGCACTGGGCACTCATGAAACCAAACAGAGGTCTGAAGTGGGGAATGTCCCAAGAAGGAAGTCTCAATACACAAAAGGAAACAAGTGTCACAGCAGGCCAGTGAAATGAAATGAGGCCCCAGCAGCCTTCCAATCATCACATCAAAAATTCATGATGCCTACAGTGGATGTCAGCATTTTAGGCCGATATTAAAAAAGATAAAACGCAGCTCTGGTTATTGCCCAAGTAATGGAGGGAAGTGGCTCAGGAAAACACAAAAGAAAGGCCACATCAGCTCGACAGACAGGATGCACATGTTTGATCTCCTCATAAACTGGAGTTACCCCTGATTCCTTCTGTCTAAAGCTAAAGAGCCTACCTCACCCCTGAGAATCCCACCAGACCTCTTCTGCTTTTGGAGGCCAGCAAAAACAAGAAACAAACAACAAACAAACAAACAAACAAAAATTCAGCAGCCTGTTCATTTCAACTGCTTTCAAAGAAAGTGTTTCTGGTAAAACAGAAGTATATAGGATTTTTGTTTGCTTGGAATTATGAAATATTTCAAATGACATATATCACAACCTTCAGATGAAGAGAATACTCATGGACCCACCAGCCAGTTTAAGAAATAAAGTATTCCAGAATGTTTCCTCTCTCCCCCAATCCCAATCTCTTCCCTCCCTCCCCAGACACAGCCACTCTCTTGAGTTTGGAACCGCATGCAGAGCTTAGAAAGAATTAGGAGAAGCTCTTAGTCTCTCAGAGATGATGGACTCATCAAGCAACAAGACAGACTTGGCTAAGGCAGATGGGGCTCAGGAAGGGAGCACTGGCATTTGTTGAGAACCTTCTCTTACCCAAATGCTTTTTACAAGACCATATTTAACCCTCACCAGAACCCTGTAAGGGAAGAAGGAGGCTTTATCGGGAAGATGAACATCAAAAATGACATGAGAGAGGCAAAAGGTGAGACTCGATGAGTAAGTCCAGGCTAGGGCATGGGTCCTGTGTGCTTTGTTAATTCCACTAATGAACCACCATATAGTCAATACCTATATTTATGTGCATAAGTATATGTATGGTAATCCTACATCTGTATATATGTGTGAAATTTCCTACTGTAGATACATTTTAAAAATCACAGTCTATGGGGTGCCTGGGTGGTTCAGTCGATTAGCATCTGACTCTTGATTTCAGCTCAGGTCATGATCTCATAGTTCGTGGGTTTGAGCCCTGTGTCGGGCTCTGCGCTGACAGCACAGAGCCTGCTTAGGAGTTTCTCTCTCCCTCTCTCTTTGACCCTCCCCCACTCTCAAAATACATAAACATTAAAAAAAAATCACAACTTAGTAAGGTGTATCTGGGGATAATACTAATAATCTTGTGGGTAGAAATAATGGCAATTAACTGTTAGGCGCTTAAAACAGTACCTGGCATGTAGCCAGTATAAGAATATATATCTCACACACACACACACAAAATAAAGAAAAAAAAGAATATATATCTCACATGCTTTTTTTTTCCCCAAATCTGTGACAACTCACTAGCAATATTATATAAACACATGCATCCCTTTGTACAAAACTAAGGGTTTACCAAGCAGGTTTTCAGCAGAGGGAGAGGGTAGAGAGACAGGGGGTTCTGGTGGAGGAGAGAACAACAGCAGAGGCAGAGGGCAGGTTCAATTACGGAGTATAGCAAGCAGAGAAACAAATGGTAAATTCGGGGGTGTAGGGAAGAAGAGAGAAATACAGGGCTTTGGGGGTGGGGGGGAGGGACTGTCACAGACACAGGTGTGACTGAATGGGAGGGCTGATGAGACAGAAAATGGCTTGACCAGGACCTTTCAGAAAGCAGGGTAAACTACGTTAAGTGCCAGCAGACTTTCGGGAAGCTGGTAAAGTGAGTGCTGGGGAAAGGAAGTGAGGATGGAGACCAAATAAAAGAAAAGAACAAAGAAAGAGAGAAATTCAATCCAGCCGTTATGGAGAGATTCATGCTTTTCAAACATCTACAGGGGATTTCTGGTATTCATGGTATTGTCGCAGAATGTAAGATAATTCTAAGAGCCAGGTGACTCCCTTCAGTTCTGGAAAAAGAAGAAAATAAAATAATTTTACCAGCTGAACCAGAGAGGGCCACTTAGTCAAGATTTCAACTGCTGGCATTTCTTTGGGGAGATGACTAACATATACAGATCACCTAATATGTTCCATGCAGCTCGAAAGGGCCTTTACATACATTCTGACATGTAAGCCCCACAGTAGTACCTAAGTAGTGACTTACTATTCTAGTAATAACACAGATAACAGTAGTGTGTCGAGTATTTAGCATATGCCTGTCACCGCACTAAGCACTTCATGCACATTACTGAATTCACTTGTATCAACAAGACTGGAAGAGAAGTATCGTTATCATCCTCACTTTTGAGATGAAAAAACGTGCCCAAGGTCATACAGCTGATAAACAAGGGAATTTAATCTTGGGCTTTTTTGATCTCAGAGCGGAGACTCTCCCCCATATCCTCAAGTGAGACAGATCTACGATCAAATTCCAGGTCTGTCACCAACCCTGTGTGGTGTTCTGGTCGAGTAACTCACCTTCCTAAGTCTCATCTTCTCAGCTCTAAAATGGGGGTAATAATGGTATTTGCCGCACAGCGGTATTATGGAGAGTGAGTTACTGCATGCCAAGTGCATGGGACATGATAAGGTCGATAAATGTTTATGGCGAGGACAGCAATGATGGATGACAGCACCAGGCTGCTCCTCGGAGTCCAGTGCAGTGGCGTCCATCTTTCGTCCTCT